CCATTAAAAATTGAGTTCACGGGATGCCTGGGTGGCTCAGTGAGTTAAGTGTCTGCCTTCAGCTCAGGCATGATCCCAGGGTCCTGGGATCGAGCTCACATCGGTCTCCCTGCTCAGTGGGGAGCCTGCTTCTCCCTCTGCCTCTCTCTCTCTCTCTCTCTGTCTCTCATGAATAAATAAATAAAATCTTTATTAAAAAAATAATAATAAATAAATAAATAAATAAATAAAATCTTTTTAAAAATGTATTCATTCAAATGAACCTCAAAATCATCTTTGTCAAATTTTGTAAAAATCCACTGAGCACTTTGAAAAGAATTGCCTTACATTTATATATAGATTCATGTAGGTATAATTCACTTTTAGTAAGATTGAGGCTTCTTATTAAAGAATATGCTAATTTGAAGATTTACTGAAGTCTTCTTTATAACTTTGCTATGATTTTTTTAAGGTCTATTATACATTTCTTATTTAGTTTATTCATAATTTTAATTTTTTTGTTTGCCATTTTAAATGGAATACTTTCTTATTGTATCTTTTTTAAACTGTTGTTATTATATAGGAAAGCTATGATTTTAGTACACAGATTTTTGAAAATGGCCAATTTGCTTAACTTTTTTATTCATCCTTCAAGGTTTTTCTCTTGAGTTTTCCTGGTAGAAAAGAATAAAATTTGAAAAGAGTAATAATTTTGCCTCTTCCTTCCCATCCCCACTTCACAGTTGTTCTGAAATACTTTTGCCTCACCTAGAGGCAAGGGCTTCCTAATGTTTCTCCCTTCTTGCTTGCTACAGTCTGTCCTACATTTTACTGACAGATCTAACCACCTCTCTCTCTATTCAAAAATATCCAAAATGTTCCCTTTTTCATTTATTTGCTTATTTAGAAAATCCTCATGGAGCACCTGGCATGTGCCAGGCAATGCCAATAGTGAGCAGAACTTCTGCCCTGTGAGCTTCCCATAACATGGAAAAATGACAGATGTTAAACACCAACCAGCAAACAAGCATACTATTGTAAATAGTAGTGAGCACTTGAATGGAAAAGACCAGGCACTGTGAGCAGAGAAGACATGACCTTTGGACTGTGACAGTCAGGATGAATGGGATTTGGCCAGAGGAAGAGTGAGAGAGTCTTCATGAAAGATGGAAAACAGGTACAAAGACCCCAAGGCAGAAAAGAGTGGTGCTTTTGAGAAACAGAGAAAGGTCAGTGTGCCTTGAATGTGGTGAGTTAGGAAGGGGCTGATAAGAGGCTGGGCTGCTGAATCAAGCTTGATGTTTGTTACCTTAAAGCTTTTGGGTTTTAACTCTAAGTGCAAAGGAAACCATGGAAGGCTTTAAGAGTGGGAATAACATGGTGTAATTTGCATTTCAAAAGGGTCTCTCTTCTACTGAATTAATATATCATTTAATCAATCATAGACTTGTATTTATAACTTATGCCCAGCGTTGGTGGTCCTTCAGCAAATGTTCTGTGTATCAGGGATTAATCCTTGTTTGTTAAAGACTTATTGACTTATAATCAGCTTAAAAAATTTACTGAACATCTATTGAGCACCTAATCTTTGGCAAGCATTATGATAGCTACTAGGGATATAAATATATATATAAGACAGGATCTCTCAGGGAGTTCACACCTAAAGCAGAGAGAGAGAACTGAATGTAATTAGAACTAAATGTAGTTTGAGACATACTCTAACAGAGTTAGACATTTTACACTACAGAATCAGAAGAAGGGGGCCCTAAATCTGGGGGCCAGCGCACAGAGCAGAAGAAGGAGAAAGATCAGGGGTGAGACAGTGCTACAATGGAAATGATGCTGAAGTTGAATTTTGACAATTATGTTCCTTAGGTATAAAACCAAGAGATAAAAGAACAGTATGTGCATCCCTCAGAGGCATGGGGAAGAGAATGATGCATTCAAGACAATGATACATACATTAGTAAGACACTTCAGAGAGCAAGTGGAAGAATGGAAGATGAGGCTAAACATGTCGGTAGGGATATAAATGAGAAAAGGGATTGTACCATTGGAAAGAAACGCTTTATCTGGGAGGAAACAGGGCATCATTGAAGGATTCTAGGTAGGGAAGTGACATGATCAGATTTGTTGGGGGTGGGTTGTTTGTTTGTTTTTTAGAGAGAGAGAGCTGGGGTGAGGGGCAGAGGAAGAGGGAGAGAGAGATCTTAAGCAGGCTCCACGCCCGGTGCAGAGCCTGACCCAGAGCTCGATTTCTTGACCCTGAGATCCTGACCTGAGCTGAAATCAAGAGGCACTTAACCAACTGAGCCACCCAGGTGCCCCGATCAGATTTGTTTTTATAAAAATGTAAATCCTAGTGTTCATGAAGGGATAAGGAGTGGTATGAACACTGTCAGGTCTCAGGACAGATCTTGAGATGAGGGAAGTGATGTAGAAGAAAGAATCAGAGGGACTCCAAAGTAAATAGACAGTTGCTATGGGGGAGAAGAGGATGAGTTCATTTGGGAACATGTTGGTTTATGGCAGGGTTTGGCAAACTTTTTATATAAAGCATCAGATAGTAAATATTTGGGGCTTTGTTGGCTATGTAGTCTCTGTCACAATTACTCAACTCTGCCTCTGAGGGGTAAAGGCAGCCATAGACAATATGCAAAGTATGTGGCTGTGTTCCAGTAGAATGGGGTGGGAGAGTGGGTTGGATTTGGCCTACAGGCTATAGTTTACCAACCCCTGGTTTAAGATATCTGGGGGACTTCTGTGCAGATGGCTATTAGATACTCAAAAAAATCAGTCTGAAACTCAGGAGAAGAGCTCAGGCTTAGAAAACAATGTTTTGGAAAAGTCAGTAGTTAGATCATAAATCACCCACTGGCAACTCAAATCCCAGCTGCTAGAGGTGATTTGTTGAACAAGACTGTGTGTGTGTGTGTGTGTGTGTGTATAAACTTAAACTTAAATTTGAATACCTTTAGGCAGACAAAAACTCTTCATTTACCACAAGCCCCATAACTTCTTATTGTATCCTATCTACTGGACTCATCTTTTGTTATCTCTCCCTTTTTTGTTCTCATTTAACTTTCCAATCCATCATTTTGATAGTGTTTGATTTTGTGAGTAGAAAAGAAATATGGTTAAGTACAAAACTTGAAGAATGCCAACATTTAAAAGGGAAGTACTAGAAGAATACGTAAAGGAAGAGTGAGAAATAGCAGTCTTGGTCTGAAACAGAAATGACTTGAAGTGGAAATTTCCATCTAAAATTGGTGAACGTTAAAACCCTTCAAGACCTAGGTCAAATACCACCTTCCTGTAAAGTCTTTGGCAATTACCACAAAGTTTCTATTAATAAGAACTGCAGGCTTCACTGATGCATCCTTCTCCCTAAAACTTAGCATTTGTCCTTGGTTACATTGCTTGATTGTATTGCTGTCTTAAGAGTTTCTTACTGAATGTAACCCTTGGCTCCCCAGTGAGTTTATAAATTCCTTGAAGTCTGAGACTCCTTATTTCTCACCCTTTAGTTTTTCTCACAAATCTTAGTACAGTAATAAATGCCTAGCAGACACCCAACAAATAAGTGTTGATTGGATACAACTTGCTTCCAAGGAATAAAGAGCTGGTGCTTTAAGGAAATATGTTTGGTTTTATATTTAAGTTCCTGGAGCTTCAATTGTTTAGCCAGGTTTTCATCAATAGCCTGCCCATTCTTCTCCCTCCTACTGCCCTCCTCACAAATCTATTTTCCTTTGGCAATCCCATGTAACCCTAGAACCAATCCATCCTACCACACGTGGAGCTCCTGTCAAGTGTTCCACTTTCTATTCGATGACTTCTCTTATTTCGTACTTATTTATCCTAATACATTGTCCTTTTGACCCAAAGAATTATCTAATGGTTTTTACAGAAGGTTGCATAAAAGTAGCCTTCCTCAGTTTAACCACAATGGTACTTAGTGTGTCTTCAAACCACTTTTCAGGCAATGAGTAATTCACTGCTTTTTAAAGAACCCCTGCTAAATAGTTAAGCAAATGAATCTCCACCAGGAAGCTGGGGAGACTGAATCCATGGGTTAAGTGTTGACCAACATCCCTGAGGAAGTCACTGCCTCAGACTCTGTGAAGGCTCCAAATGCTAAGCTCCTCCTATCAGGCTCACATCATCCCTCAATGCCTGCCGTCATTTAGACTGACTCCATATTAGATACAAGACACAATATGCGAGGAATTGGTGCCAAGAGGTTTCCACTCACAAACTTCCAGTGGAATAATTCCCTTCATTTTCAATGGTAAATTTACCCACCAGAGTATAGAGGTGGCCCTTGCCTAATGAGCTATCTTAGAAGTAGAATTTCATGTATCATGACATGAAAGTTAATGCATATGTCAAGGAGTTTACTTACCTTTTTGTAATTGTTTAGTGATCTTCAGACTTCCACATTTGAGAATAGAAAGCAATGACTATTGCTTCATAGAGTTAACATGCTAAGAAATTACTACTACAAATTCTCCACCACTCAAGAGCAG